AGTAAGTGGACTCCTAAAATGTAGTCTTTAACTTTGAAGAATATAAACAAAATGGTCATGTAAAACCAGCTCAAACCTGGGACTGTGCTCAGATAGCCCTCAGACGTTTGTGATTAGAGGTCACACTGTGGCCCCTGGTTTCCATTTGCCTGAGCTTGTATTGTATTGTATTGTATTGTATTGTATTGTATTGTATTGTATTGTATTTTTGGCTGAATGAAGTAGAAGAACAGGTTGAGGATTCAGGAGTGGGATAGGGCTGTATTTGTTTACTAAGGCTGCTACAAATTACTGCCAACTTGGTGTCTTAAGACAACAGAATTTTTTAAAGTTTATTTATTTATTTCAAGAGAGACAGAGACAGCACAAGTTGGGGAGGGGCAGAGAGAGAGAGAAGGAGAGAGAGAATCCCAAGCAGGCTCTTCACTGCCAGCACAGCTCAAACCATGAAGCTGTGAGTTCCTGACATGAGCTGAAACAAAAATTGGATGTTTAACCATCTGAGCCACCAGGCACCTCAAGAAAACAGAAATTCTCTCACTTTTCTGGAATCCAGAAATGCTAACTCAAGGTATCTGCAGGGCCATGTTCCCTTCAAGGCTCTGGAGGAGACCCTTCCTCAACTCTTCCAGCTGCTGGTAGCCCCTGCTGTGGCATCACCTCCTTGAATCTCTGCCTGTGTCTTCACATGGCCTTCTCCTCTCCTGCATCTGCAAAGAGCTACCAGAGATCCATGTCTAATTCAGGTCATTCTCATGTGTACCAGAGGCAAGGACTTGGACATATCTTTTGGGGAGGATATCATTGGTCCTATTATAAGGTAAAGGCATTTGGAGAGGAGAGAGGGAAGGGAATAGGTGTATGTAACCAAGAGGTGGCATATGTGTCCCTTCCCTTTGTCACAGTTTGTCAAAGCCAGTTCTTTTTTTTTTTTTTAATGTTTTTTAAATTTATTTCTATGAGAGAGAGAGAGAGACAGCGTGAGCAGGAGAGGGTCAGAGAGAGAGGGAGTCACAGACTGAAACAGGCTCCAGGCTCTGAGATGGCAGGCAGCACAGAGCCCGATGTGGGGCTCGAACCCACGAACCGTGAGATCATGACCTAAGCGAAAGTCGGACGCTTAACCGACTAAGCCACCCAGGCGCCCCTGTCAAAGCCAGTTCTTAACTCTTGTAAGGAAATGGTTTAAGCCAGAAGCTTAAGGACTTTTTTTTATGATTCTGAGCAGCAGCAGAACAACTTTAGGGCTCCTGTAGAAAAGGTGACAGAGGCATCACGTTAGCATCCTAGGCAGACTAGGACCTCAGGATGGCCATCAGGTGAAGGCTGTGGTACCCAGTATTTTAATGGAAATATCTTTAACCTGGCTTCTCTCAGAGAGTCTATAAGCCATGGAGTGGTAACTCCTTAAGACATCTCCATCAATATAGTCAGTGCATAGCAAGTGTGGCCAAAATGGAAACCCACAATGGATTTGTCCCTTATGGCCATGGAAGGCAATCCTGGAATCCCTGAAATAACTGAAGAGGGTTTAGGGGGTTCCCTTTGGTTCTGCCATTAAACAGGTGGGAACTGAGAGCTACTGTAACTTAGGTATTAATTTTAATAAAGCCTTGGGGCACTTGGGTGGCTCATTTGGTTGAGAGTCTGACTCTTGATTTTGGCTCAGGTCATGATCTCACTGTTCATGAGACTGAACCCCACATAGGGTTCTGTGCTGACAGTGCGGAACTTCTTGGGGTTCTCTCCCTTTTTATCTGCCCCTCCCCGGTCACATGTGCTCTCTGTCTCTGTCTCTCTCTCTCTCACTCTCTCAAAAATAAATAAATAAACATTTTAATTTTAATAAAACCTCATTGGTTCTCCCATGCTGTGGCAGCCTGGGAGTGTCTGTTTACAAAGGTCCAAGAATGATTAAAAGCATATCTGTAAGAAGTGTTTAGTGGTTGTTGCTGCTTGTGAGCTCGAAGCTTCCTTTGCTTCATTTTGAAAGCCAGGAAGAAACAGCCTCTGAAGCTGGTAGTAAGAGGTGGTCTAGGCAGAGCCATCAGGAGCCCTGGACGAATGATACATTGGGAGATGCTCAGACATTGATTGGGAGAAGTTGGGGGTGGTGGGGAGGAAGTCGTGAAAAAAAAGTAGAAAATGATTTTGGGAATAGTAATATCATGTAGTCTAATAAAAGCACACAGTCCTGCAAACGATTATGCTAATGAGTGGACAGGAGCCCTGGCAGGCACAGTTGAGAGGAAGTGCTGTGGGATCTGTGTTCCCTGACCTGGTACTGCCATTAGAGAGAGAACAAGTCACAGACTGTGGCCGACCCGCATGTGTGGCTTTGTATGCAGCTCAAGACTGTGATGCAGGGGTGATGACTGAGGGAAAGCATCCCCAAACTGGGGTGGGGGGGACCAACACCTTCCATCAGGGCCTATTCTCCAACCCCCCCCACCCAGAAGGCTGTGTCTTCCAACCCTTTAGCGTCTACACTCTGCTTGTATTCCTTATTCTTTCAAGCAGAAAAGAAACAAGTAATTGGCTTTTTTCTGTAGAGAAAGTAGGAAGAACCAGCACAGTGTTCCTTTTTTTTTCTTCTTAAACCACTACTGTTGCTTTTCATAAGAGATGAACAAGAGGTCTGTGGGTTCTAGTGGGGCTCAGAAAAATGTTTTCCTGTGAGACACGTGAAATCGAGGGGGTCACTTGTCAGTGACCCTGCTCAGGCCCCAGGTGAAGAGGTCAGGACACACCATGGCTCATTGAATGACCCACTCAGATCCTGACTTGGGGTTACCGTCTCTGCTTCCCTCGTGTGGCAGTTGCTTAGGTTCAGGAAGAGTGAATAATGAAGGGTGTGGTGCTGTTATTTCTAAGAACATGTCCCTGGGAATAAGTGAGCCTATTTTGCAGGCAGAGTGCAGGTAGCAGGCAGGGCTGCCTGGGCAGCTCTGGACCCATCACATTCCCATCCCTGTTCCCAGTGTGAGGAGTGTGGGCATCCTCCAAATTGGACAGTGAAGAGCAGAATTGGGGTGGGGGAAGCTGGATAGACAGTCCCTCTGTCTTCGTAGCTACTTCTGCCGACTTCTGGAGGCTCTGAGAAGTCCCAATCTCCAAAAGCACCTAAGACATTATCACAATAATAATCACCATAATAATAATAATAAATCACAAGATGCTTCTCCCACCCTACTGTGAAGCCACCCAAAGGCAAGACTTTATTCCTCATCTTTATGTCTCCAGCTCCAAACATAATTCCAGACACACAGTAAATACTCAGTAAGTAATTGTGGAATGAAAACAGGATGGATGAACTGGCAACCCATTTTAGTACTTCTCCATCATTCATGATCAAAAATGCAAATGTCTGTGGTATAGCATAGTTCAGTTGGATGGAAGGAATAAAAATGACCAACTCTAGAAACCCCAAGAAAAATGGAGCTAGACCTGAGCATTTCAGTGCCTTCTCATATCTAGGTAACCGAGAAATAGTATCATATTCTGTTATACTGTTGAGTAGGGAAGGCCTCAGTGTGGTGAATGGGGAAAAGTTATAATAATAATAATGCATAGCTTTGCAGGCCTATGTCTTGTGGCCTTGGTGACAGTGGATCAAATTCTGCCCACTTAAAAGGCATCTGAGGGGCACGTGGGGATGGTTCAGTCAGTTAAGTATCTGACTCGGCTTTTGCTCAGGTCATGATGATATTGACCCATTAAACATTTTCACAGACAGGAGGATATACTGGCAGAGATGCCAAAGAATTCTACTGCAAACAAGGCTTAACACAGATACAGTGAAGGCTTGTTTGGGTATGAACAATACAAAACTGTCAAATGCACCTCAGAGTAAACTTCATCTTCCTTCCTGCAACCATAGAATTTCTTCTGAGGTTTCTCTCTGTGCTGCTCTACGTGGGAGAAACATTGTGTATTTTGGGGACAGTATGGGAACAAGTTATGTGGAACATTCTATGCGCCCAGGATTAACTTGGTATCTTACCTTTTCCATTTTAGTTTCCATTAAACTGTCAATATTTCTCCTATGAAAATAAATCCTTTGATTCTTTATTGTTCATGACAGGATGTGACTCTTGGTGTTGACCTTTTCTTATTTCCCTATAGTTTTATTTCCCTGAGAAAATCTGTTAGCACAGAAATATTTTCTGTTCCACTTGTCATTTCTAGTCTTCCTCCAGCACGTATCTGCATGGCTGCCTCATTAACTCTGCATTTCTTTTGCAAACTCAGCTTGAGGTTATCTTTTTCTTTCTTTCCTAACACCAGCTCATTTTTGCCTGATCACTGTTATTATTTGTTTAACCCAGAGTCATATTTTTAGATGCAGTTTTGTGGGAAAGATGCCACACTAGATAAAGCAGATAATATCATGTTCAAAAATCACAGAAAAACAACTCCCTAGGTGATGGGTAAAACTGGAGATGCTCTTGACTTAATGTCCTCAAAGTACAACAATAATGGGTGTGTTATACAATGCAGCCATCTTTGTGAAGAAATGGTGAAAGCAAAATTAGACATAATGTTCTCAATAGACTTCCAGCAATGCCAAACAGAAGAGACCATGGTGTATCACAAGCTGTTCACAAGTCATCTTGCTCGTAGGCTTTCTTCATCAGTCATTTATAATGTCTACTTACATAGGTCTTTTATTATGTATTTTATGCTTTGTAATTTAGCAACTGGAACCTCGACTGTTCTTTACAACACCAGCTGGGTTTCTTTTCTACTAAATGGGCGTCATGTTCCGGGAGATAAGGCATCTAGTGTGGAAATGTGCCCTCTTTGTAGAAACTGTCTAAATTTGAAAATGACTTTTTAAAGTAATAATTTATCATAGCAGGAGCGAAATTTCACTATGGCTTGTGGAGGACTAGGAGTAGGGGAAATTGTGGGCTGTTACTTTCTTAAGAGCACAGAAGACGATAGACCTCCCTGAAGATTTGCTGTGTTCTTTCTCTCTTTCATTTTCTAAGGAAGAAGGCAGCTTTGTTTAGTGGATAAAGGCCTGTGGTGTTACTCCTGAGGTCTGGACATCCCACACTGGCTCTTGGGGACTTCTCAGCAATCACGTCTGACTTCCTGCTTCTCAGTGAGGAAACTGAGAACTACTTTTCTCTTTAATTGGTAAGGTTGTAACACTGGTCTTCTTCAGTGGAAAATCCATGCTGACAGTATTCTACAGGTGGTCAGAATTATGAGACCAAAGAATAATATAATTAACACACAGAATAACCTTTCAGTCATCAGAAAGAAGGCAGAATAACCCTTCAGCCATCAGAAGGAAATAACTCCATCTCATATTTAAAGATTAGGAAAAAGTAAATGCCATAGTGGCTGCCCAAGGAGGAAGGAATGTCATTCAAAATAATAATTTTAGGTGGAGAACTCCTTTTTTTTTTTTTTTTTTTTTTTTTTTTAAAGGGTAGAGGTTTCTACTGCTTTTAGTTTCTGGAGATAGAAACCTACAATCCCTTGGAGTCAAAAGCCGTTTTTGGTGCAACTTCCTAGGTTGGGCTGCTTAATTCTACCAATAGGAGGTCAGTGGCCATCTATAATTCTTGGAGAAAACCTTGACTTTTCCCCGTGTCTCCATCCAGATTCTATATGCTCAGGTAAACTATTCTTATCTTCTTTATGTTGTAATAGTTTTCTTCTAAAGAAAAATTAACTTATTTAGTTATTATCTCCCACATGGAATATAGATGATAGGACAACCCATACATTTTTTGAGGGGCTTACAAAATTGAATTGTGGCACAGATTCAGAATATATTTATGACTGAATGCAGGGGCTGACTGTGTATATGTGTCTGTGCAGATGTCTGTGTGCATGTGTATTATGTACATTTGTATGTGTGTGTTTGTATTGTGTGTATGTGTATATATGTGTGTGTGTGCTTGGAGAGCACAGTTATAGGTTGAAATCAGCAATAGATCATGAGGATTTGGGAAGCTGATCACTGTTCCTTGTAATATTAACCCAAATGCACCCATTGGATTAACCCAAATGAACTCATATGTACTCATATCAGCCAACTTGAGTGCTCCTTGGAGATATCTGGGGAGAAGCAGCTTTCCAAAATTCACTAAATGGTGACTCGGGATCAAAAGTCATCAATGCCTGGGGTGGTGGCTATAACCAGGTTTCATGATTGTGCACACGCGAGAGCAGGAATTTTAAAAGTCCTATCTGGTTTTGGCTAAAAGTAAACTGTGATGAGGTTGAGATTGACAGGCTGTCAAAATCTGTGGCCCTAAGTCCCCAGACGATAGGATATACTTAGCACAATACTTGGTGTGTGATAACAAATTTTCTTTGTTTGCTTGTTTTTTTCTCCAAGTATCTCATCTTCTATATGCACCTTCCTGTAATCGCTTCAGATCGCTTATTGCCTGAGGGGACAGAAGGAGAGCTAAATGTTTCAAAAGTTTAATACCTTAGGGAAATTTGGTGGATTTGGAGCAAAATGTTATGGAAAACACTATCAGTTTGCCTTTGCTGCATGACAAACTGCTCCAAAATTTAGTGACTAATACAAAAAGCATTTATTGTTGCCTTAGTTCTGCTGTTCTGAGCCAGATTTGGTTGGTTGGTGTTGGGCGTGCTTATGGGTTTTGTAGTCATTTGGCAGTGATGGGTGTGGTGGGCTATGGTGTAGAGAGACTTGGCTCTATGTCGCCCATCATCCAGTGGGCTTTTGTGGCAGTGGGGTACCGAGAGGGAAGACAAACAAGTGAAAAGCCTCCTTAAGCCTATATCAGACCTGGTACAACATCACTTCTGTCACATTCTGTTGGCCAAAGCAAGTCATAGGGGAATCCCAGATTCAAGGAGTGAAAAAAAGAGCCTTCACTTTTGATGGGAGGAGCCACACAGACACATTGCAAAGGGGCTGCCTCCAGAGAGGGGGTAGAATTGAAGCCATCTTTGTCATTTGCCATACTGTGATGATGGATTAGGGAACACTGAGACCAAGAACAGGGTATCATCCATCTCTGCATCTGTGCACACAATAAAATACAGGTTTTTCTTCTCCCATTCTAGGAAAGGTAAGAAGCCAGAGGGTAAGTAATGATGGTAGTGCTTGGAACAAGCTTGCAGGACAGAGTCTTTTTTTTTTTTTTTTAAAGTTTAATTTATTTTTGAGAGAGAGAGAGACAGCGTGAACAGGGGAGTGTCAGAGAGAGAGGGAGACACAGAATACAAAGCAGGCTCCAGGCTCTGAGCTGTCAGCACAGAGCCCGACGCGGGGCTCGAACCCACAAACTGTGATATCATGACATGAGCCAAAGCCAGACACTCAACCGACTGAGCCACCCAGGCACCCCTTGCAGGACAGAGTCTTAAGAAATCTGCAAAATCCCAGATGGGTTTGTGGAACCAGAGAGAGAAAGGTGCCCTAAGGAAGGAGAAGATCCTAGAGAGAGGAAGACTGAAATGTGAGGCTAGGCTGATGGACCACAGATGTCTACTGGACATCCTTGATTCCCAGCCAGCCACAGAGAACAGTGGAGTGAGTCTTGTGTCTGCAGGTGTGGCAGGGAACCAGCACTGAGATCAGTGAGCCTGAATGAGGCCATGTGGATAGGAATAAAACCATCTTAGAAGCTCCCAGATGAACTTACTACTGAAGACAGAAAGACTTCCTCTCTTCTTTTGTCCATCCCAACACTTTAGCACTAAGGAAGCCAATCTCCTCAGCATAAACATCTGCAGGTATGAGATAAGCGATACCCCGAGATTACATTTTTGCCACTCCCAACAGAGTAGGAACTCAAAAATTTTAAGATGAAGTCTAGGATAAATTTTTTTTCTAAATATGTATTTTTTTCAGTAGTTGAATTTCGAGGCTGAGATTCAGCTAATTTCCCATACAGGAAATGAGAATGCATATGAAACTACCTAAGAGTTTTAAAACACTGTCTTATTCCCATTAAGATATTAGGAAAGTACAATATATGGAAAGCTCTCAGCTGGGGCTCTGGAGTAGTAGGAGTGGACATTGTGATGTGACCAGATTCCTTGCCCATAAGAAAAGCTTCAAGGACCCGAATCTGATCATTCTTCGATAGGTTAATACATGTGGTCACCCATGTAGAAGGCTGTTCATCTCATGGTAGAAATAATGAGGTGTTTGCGATGGTTAATTTTATGTGACTTGACCAAGCCAAGGTATGTCCAGATAGCTGGTAAACATTGTTTCTAGGTGTTTATGTGAGGGTGTTTTCCAAAGAGATTAACCTTTGAATTGGTAGACTGTGTAAAGAAGATATACCCTCACCAATGTGGTGAAGCAATCTAATCCACTGGGGACCCAAATACAACAAAAAGGTGGAGGAATGGCAAACTCTTTTCTCTTTTGTGCTGGGACACCCATTTCTTCTGCCCTTGGAAATCAGAGCTCTGGTTCTTGGACCTTTGCAAATTGAGACTTATACTAGCACCTGCCTTTGTTCTCAGGCTTTTGGACTCAGATTGAAATATAGCACTGGCTTTTCTGGTTCTGAAGCTTACAGGTGGCATAGAGTGGCACATTTCAGCCTCCATGATTGCATAAGGCAACTCCTGTAGTAAATCTTCTTTATCTATCTGTCTGTCTATCTGTCTGTCTGTCTATCTATCTATCTATCTATCATCTATCTATCTTCTATCTATCTATCTATCTATCATCTATCTGTCTGTCTGTCTATCTATCTATCTATCATCTATCTATCTTCTATCTATCTATCTATCTATCTATCATCTATCTATCTATCTATCTATCTATCTATCTATCTATCTATCATCTATCTCCTATTGGTCCTGTTTCTCTGGAGAACTGTGACTAATACTATACACAAAACTGAAGTTCTAGGAAGTGTTATTCCAGCTTTGGAAGAAGTCTTTGAACCATGGCTGAGGCCATCTTTTGCAATGGGGCAGGACCGGAGAGTACCAAATGGAATTGGAGAATGTCATGATGAAGAGCCGCAGAGGCGCCATGTTTGAAGTAATTAGTATTCCCAAAATGACAAAGTTTCAGATACTGAGGCCAAGGATTTACAGAATGTAGAAATACCACTGGGAATGTCGAGAATTTCTTGCTATTTTTCATTGAGTGGGAGCCAAAGTGTCTGTGTTTGTGTTAAGGCTTGAGATAGTGCTGCTGAACTATCTCAAGTAGTGCAACAGATCAAGGAAACATTGAACAGACCCCATACAGCAGGTGAAAGGGATGCACTGAGACAAATGCCTCTGAAGGACCCCACGCTTCCTAGAATCTTGCAGTTATTAAGTCTGGTAAAGGGGAAGTGGTGGCTTGAATTAAAGAGAACGAGTCACTGAGTTAAGTGGAGTTCTTTGGCTTAGTATAAATTAAGAGTTTGATGAGAAATAGAATGCCTTACGAGATCCCTGAAGGAACTGATGAAAGAAGGAATAGGAAATGAGTGGGGAAAGACCAAAACAAGTGTTCTTATAGATGTGGGGCTAATGGGCATACGGGGAGAGCATATAACACAGAGGAAAAGATACTTTTATGTTTCATTGTCTAGCTGTGAGTATTTAATCTCTTTAGGTCTCACTCTCATTGCCTGTGTAATGGGGATAATAATAGTATCAACCTTTCAGAGCGTTGGAGTCATGTAAAGCATTTCATATTGCACTAAGCATTCAATAAATGTTATCTCTCATCATTATTACTTGCACACTGAATAATAACAGAAAATAGAGAAGGAGATGGGGTTTCAAGCAAGTCATCTTTCCTCTCTCCTTATTGCCTCTGTTGAAAAGATTCTATCTAATTTAAGTATCTAGCCCCTTAGACTGATGTCACAGTGGAGAGAAACAGAATAGGAGGGATTTGGTGTTCAGTGGTGCTAGACTGAGAATTTAACTCCCTATTATAAAAATGTATAGACTGGGGTGGGCTCATTTGGTTAGAGAAGTCTGTTAATATATCCGTTAGGTGACTGTAAACTAGATTTCTTGTACAGTCTGGCAGAGGTCTTGGGCGAAGTGGATAGTAATAATAGCCAAAATTTGTTGAAGTATTTGGTAGGTCTTGGGCACTGTTCTAAGTACTTAGTGTGGGTTAGGGTGAATTAATACTAAGATTAATACAAAAAGTCCATGATGAACAAAAA